AGAGAGAGAGAGAGAGAGAGCGTACATGAAAGAGAGTGTCCTAAGCGATATGAAAATTAGGAAAATGAAATTTTCCATGGAAATTGTAACTCATAAAAGTTAGACGAAAATTAAGTGAAAATTGTTCCTATAAGGAGCTTGATATTCGTGAGAATCTTCATCCTTTATACGTATGACTTCATTTACCTAGGCAATAATAAATTTTAGGATCAAATTTATCATTAATAAGTGTGAATCCTTTGCACTGTATGTTTTAATAATTATTTATTATTAATCATGATATTTATATCATGATTCTATCAAGTTATAAATCTATGAAATGTTTCTAAGAAATTTTAAATATTTATATTTGAATCCTTGCAAAATAAAAATGTTATATGCGAATTTAATATCGCGATTTATTGCCACGTATGATAGATGATAAGTGCAAAGGATTGAATTTATCACAAATTATACACAAGCAGAACCGCAGCAAGAAGATATATGTCGATTTCGTGCATATTTTTTCTATTATCTATATTTTTTGTGATAGCTTTAATTGTATATTCGTGTAAATATTTGTTTATAATGTAAAAATTAATTTATAAATAAGTTAAATTTTTTCCTCTATAATGATATTTAACATTTTTAAATAGATTTTCCCCTTTTATTTTTTCTGAAACGAACATTCGTCTTATTGCGATTCTGTATATATAGACTGTAAATGGTATTTATAAATTGTATCTACTATATTTATATTTAAACTTAAACATTTCTATTTCTAGCAATTACTTTGATTCGAAGCATCAAACTATACAATTATACGTATACCATTGATGTGCTTCTTTCAAAGCTTTAATAGTATAATTATTTGTATGAATATTTATATCGCTTTTTATACACGATATTAACGAGAACGAATGTTTTCTAATATTTCCACGTTTCTATAAATGGTAGTAAAAAGTAATTTTGTCCCTGTAGTTTTATCGAATAATCATGTTTTAATTCTCGAATTTCCATTAATCGTAATCGTAAGATAATTTCTGACAATAATTCCTCTTGATTTTATTATCTATGATTTTATTAAATGTTAAGCAATAGTCTCAATGATTTTTTTATAACGTCAAGTAACTAAAAATGCAAAAGATTTAATTAGTAAAAAAGATTATGGGGATAATTATACAACAAAATAATATTTGTTATCATCATACTATGCTTCCTAAAATAATTAATTAGCATCACATTTTTGTATCGATTATTTCGTTTTAAATGAAATGCACATACCATTTCTCATATTTTACATAGATACACATTTATGTATAATGTACTTTGTGATCTATCGAATGATCTAAATTTATTGTAGTTGCCTCTTGAAACCATACACGTCGTTAAATAAAACACGGAAAAAAAAGAACGATGTAATTTATCACTTTTTTAATTTTATAATGTTTTTAAGATTTTTGAGAGGGACGATAATCCAGATACTTTTGATTTTGATAGACATTGAAATAATTTGATAATTTGATAATTTATATCCGATATCTCAGTGTTTTAAATATTTTAAACCTACAAATCGCCTATACACAATACACAATTCAACTCTGTCTACGTCTGCACACAATGATTCAGTTTTACACACGACAAACATATTTTTATGGCCGTCCTCATTTGCTTCCCTCTTCAAAGGAAAGCAATCTCTCTGTCCACTTACTTTCCACATGGTCTTAAAGTCGTCCGTCGTGCCTTTAACATTTTTAACGTTCAAATTAGAACCTTTAGGATAAATTGTCCCATTTTCTTCTTACTTCAACATAGTGAACAATATATCATCAAAAATATCGTCACTCGATAATTTTTCATTGCATCCTTCAATCTTATTCTCATCATTACTCTTTCTCTTCCTCTCATTTTATCATTTATCTTTCATTTTTTCTGTCTTCGATCAATGATATTCGAGTTCATATTCGAATTAAATGAAATATAATTATAACTGATAACTACTTGTAACGAATTATAATTTCGATCGAACGATAATATTTCTGATATTTCGATTTTTTCTTGTAAAAAAAAAAAAAAAAAAATACACTTGTATCTTTTACTTCAAAATATTTAGGATGGTATTAAAAATCACGATAATTTTAATTTTTTCACACTAATGTGTGTGAAATTTTCATTAAAACAACAGATAAATATATTTCACGAATCATAAAATTTTGCCTCTCAGGATTATTAACTCCTTTCATTCGATGTTTTCGGATTTACCGACAATAGAATATGGTATCTTTAATTCTCTCAAACCCATCAAACTTTTTGGCACCGGCGCCGTTCCAGTTTTCGCTGATCCTTTTATTATCCGTGCAGTTTCTAGGATTATTAAAGTTGGTCTTCGTAAAATCGCGAAGGCGGGATTAGACACCGGAAACGAGGTGTCTGCACATCAACGTACATACGTGTTAGAGTGTAGAATTTTGCGAATTTTGGTAGGCTGATATCTAACTTAACTTTCAATCGTCGTTGGAAAAATTTCGATCACGAATCAATGTTGATGTAATCGATCTATCGAAATTACGGAATGGAATTACGGAAAGAATTTCGTCATGAACATGAATGAAATTTATGAAAAGGGATAAAGGAAGAAGATAAGAAATAGATTTTTACAATATTTTCAATCATCGATCCAATTATGTAATCTCAATTAGGCGAACGAGAGGAAAACGAAAGAAAGGATTTTAGTTAAAAATATTACGGGACCGTAAAAGAATAAAAGTGTTATCTATTTGACCGCGTATTGGAGATTTGATTTATGTTCGGTCAAGAAGATAGCAGTTTATGGAATTTATGGAATCGTAGACGCATCGTTGAAATATACGAAAATGCATGGACGATTCAGTTGTTCAATAATGATTGTTGAACGTTTAAGAGATGATAAATACGAAGGAAGGGCAATATTTGTTCACAGAGGAAAATATTTAGTAAAGAGTGAAAAGCATCGAGACAATAGAAAATTTGTTGAATAGGATCCTCGTGACAATGGAGCGTAGAATAGAATAGCGAATTCATAGCGACAAAATGGAACGGACAATAGATGGTCAATGATAATAGAAAATGTTACATAATGATTCAGTTATATAGGCATAAAGAAATTAACGAAATCAACGTTTTCCAAACTTCTCTCTACCCACGAAGAGAACTTAACCACCATCTATCTAGTAAAAATCTATCTTCGAATAAATCTAACCAATAGAAATGTTCGAATAAAACACGCGTGTTAAAATAGAAACTATTTGACGTATTCTAAAAGAATACTTTTTCATCGATAAAAGTTCCACGCGAATGAACGAGATGAACACGACAGGCCGATGAAAAAAAGATTATCAAGCATCGTTTCGTTAACAGAGGCTGAAACTTTATCCCCGTTGGCCGAGATTTAGTGGAGATAAAAAAAATTGAGTCGGACGGGAGAGAGAGAAGAGAAAGAAGTATCAAAATTTTCTCTCGAATAGTGGGAACAGGCGTGAATACGATAGAGTGGGGAAAAATATAAAAGAAAGTTTAGCGGATAAAAACTTTCGAGTCATGTGAAGATACACGTGAACGTACGCGTCGAGAACGAGATCATCGATGATTCGTTATCGTGTTACGAATGAAATGCACGAAATACGTTTCGCGTTCCAATTTGTTCTTTTCAACTTGTACAGCGAATAAATTCAACCCGAGTCGATCGAGACACGCGATACATTTGTATTTTCGCGGCCATCGTATTATGATATTTTAAATTCGTTCGTGCATTTCGTCCGATAATTGGATAAACCGGATGCACTTTTAGAACCTCGAAGATGAACATATTTGTACGAGTGAGTAACGATTACGATATTCGTCGATAGAATTTTTTTCACTACATATTTTTGCAACAATGCAAAATGAATAATCAATCGATATCGATCATTTTAAATGGGGTTAATGGGAACGGGTAATAATTAATCGTTCTCGTGTCGCTAGAATTGGTTTCTACTAGTTGCACTTTTCGTTTTACCGCTCGAGATTATCGAAATGGGAAATGGTTACAAACTAATCAGACCGTACAAGTATTATCAACGTAGACCATTGCGGTGGTCTGGATGGTGGCACGCGGATCACAAATCATCCAAGTTCTACCATTCTAAGAAGATATCGCCGGAAGACTATTACTCCCGCGGGCCAATCTATAATAGGTATGGAATGAATATAGTTAAGTTGTGCGACAATATGTGATTTCTTACGTTCCGTTTATCATATTATTTATCATATTAAACGTTATACAAATGTAACAAAATTTCATCTTCTTATATTTAGATAAATCCATTAAAATTATTGTAATAGAATTCGAGTTATTCTTGCTCAACAACGACCGATCTTCTACTTATCAAATTGATCCGTTTTACTTATCCGATTATGATCGTCTTGTTTCATTCTCTGTTCCATTATAAAATTATCTAATTTATCTGAATAGACAGAGAGACAAAAAAAAAAAAAAAGAAATATCCCGACCGATAAATTGACATTTCAGATATGGTTTGGCGAGAGACGATTTTGATGGACATACCGAAAATAATCCCTGTATCATCGTGATACAATTGTCTAAAGGGAGAAACGAATACGAAGACGATAAAAGAAACAGGAAATACGAAAGAATTCCTGTATACATCAGTGAAAATGATTACAACGACGAATCAAAGATATTCAATATTAATAACAGAAACGTGCAAATACAGGTAAAAGTGAAAAATTAATAGTAATAATAGTGATTTGCTTAATCTCTTTCTACAATCTTTGGAATAATATGTTTTTTTTTTTCACGATTTTAGATGGTCAAAAGTGAAAATCCAAAATTGCATATCAAAATATCAAGATCGGATAACGAAAAAGATATTAAAATTATGGATAAATTGAATATCAGTGTACGAAACCATTATTGACAAATACAAATAAATTTTATATACACAAATTTAACACGATGGAATAAAATTGAATTTTTATATTTCAGTTGAAAAATTTTGGATGAAAACGAATATTTTAATGATTATAAATTAACTATCGGTTGGAAAATAATTCTTTTGCGAAAATCTCTCTTGATCGAATCTCAAGAATTATAAGGATTAAAGAGGCAATATTTTTAGAAATTATTTATATTTCGTACCCCTGTATTTATTATATCGTATATTATATCATTATTATAAAATCAATCATTACTTTACTTGATTGTAATATATATAATATATATTCCGTATTTAAAATATAAAAAATGGTTTATGTAATGTAATGAATTTTCTTGTTGTATTAATCATTTGTGGAATAAAATAATAAAATAATAAAATCGTGAATATTTTTTGAAGGTATAAAATAAAAACATAAGAAGATAAAATTATTGGAATCGATCGCGTTAAATTGTTTTATCTTCGTTCATTTACCAATTAACGATAGTCGAGAGAATAAATATGCAATCCGAATAGCAGGAGTCTGGGGCGGAAGCCTTTAAACAATACAACATATTGATTTTTGCCCGTACCGCTTTTTCCACATGGGGCATTGTTTCGGAAAATGCACCATCTTTTCCAATTGGTTAATGGAATGCGAATTCGACGATTGATTTTAAATTCGATTTACGGAAAATAAAGTTTGGTCGAAAAGGGAAGGAAGGAGGATAGGAAAAAAATACACGTAACGAAAGAAGCGACAACTCGCAATTCGGTCGGAAAAATCTTTGCAAAATAAAATGGGAAAATAAATACGCGAAAGCGGAGAGGGAAATTGTTGGGAAAGAATATTTTTTTTTTTTTCGTTCGAGGAGAAAAAAAAGAAAGAAAGAAACAGATTATTTTCGAGGCTAATGAATCTAATAGCGAAAGATCGAAACAGTGGAAACTCGCGGAATCATCCTCGAGTTTGGATGGACGAGGAAGAAATGGCAAATATTGTGTTCCGAAGCGGGCCCCCTGCCACCACCAGTCGTCTCTTGTTCCGCTTTTCTTCCGGCTCGAGTGCCCTCGCGCTTCTACTTCGTTGTTTCCCCGACTATAAAGAGAGCGAAAAGGGGCGGGAGTTGAGACGATAGGGGTAGAAGAAGCGTTACAATGGGACGAACAAGGGAGATCTCGAGAGGAAAGTGGTACGTTTTGTCGGAGATTTACTTTACTCGACCAGTTTCTCAATGTACTTTTTATTTCTAACATAATAAATAGTCAACGAACATGTCGTAATAATAATAATAAATAATAGTAATATAATATACAGTGCTGTTGTTGATTTACCATCATCTCGTTTTCTTTTTCTCTTTCCCTTTTTTTCCTTTATCATTTTATTCCCTTTATTCCCTCCTTTCGTTCATGCGCGAATTTTCCCTCCTTCTCTCATCTCGATGCCAATTACCCTTACACGCCTTTCCGTTCGCTGCTCTACTCGCGCGAAACAACGTTGAAAAAAGATTCTTTGTTTTATCGTGGTGGCATGGAAACGCTACGTTTCGTCGGAAAATACTCGAGCGAACGATCTTTCTTTTAAATTGGTGGAAATTAATATAATGGGTGGTAAAAAATTGTCAAAATTAGGGAACACGGAATATCCGGCGAGAAAATTTTGTGTACCGCGTATGTAAATCTATGCAGATACGCAGAATTATTTGGGGGATTTTAAAGGTGGTGAAATTAAAATTGAAAACCGATCGTCAAAATAGAGAGGACGCGCGAAAAGGCTATTTCAGGTGCTAATTACACTCGGAGGGCGGAAACGACATTATCGGTTAAACAATTAACGATTGAACGTGCACATCCGATGAATCACCAACTGTCCCCTATCCAAACTCATTGCTGTTCGCATTATACGTGCGACCGGCCTGCGGATGTCGAAAATATCGAGCGTATGGACCGAGGTTGAGAAGGAAAAAAAAAAAAAAAAAAATAAGTTTGGCAAATGCATTCGGTTCGGTCTCCATTCGTATGTAAATAACTCAGCCTAAAATCAAGCCAGACGTTCGTCGGTCAGCTGGTTTCATGCCAATATCGACGAATTCGAGGAATCGGGACACGTAGAACGTGTGTTCCACGCCATCTTTCTCGTTACGCGACGTTCGTAATTGCTGTTTACGTTCTTTCACAAAATTCTTCATCTTTTTCTATCAATGACATCGAAACGGAACGATCATCCTTCACGAACGGATCAAAGAATAAGAATTCTTGGAAAATGATCGGTCGGGAATTAAGATCGTTGCTTTAGAGAAACACGCATGCGATATAATTGGATATAATGATACCGGTACAGAGAGACAGATGGTTCGTCGATGATACTCTTCAATTTGATCGAAACAAATAGAACGATAATTAATTTCTCCTCTTTTATCGTACGTTTCCACGTGAATTTGTGACGGATGATGTTAATGGGAGAAAAATATGACCTATAACGTATAGTTGACGTGGAAGGAATTCTACGTATTACGAGTTCAATTGAAATATTTCCGTCTCGATGATAAGGAATAACAGATCGTGGCGATGCTTCTTCGAATTATCGTATTTCTTAATCATTAATATGATCAAAAATAGAATAATAGAAATATTTCGAAGAATGGGATGTTTCTTTACTTCTTTGGAAGAAAAAAAAAAATAAATAAATAAATTCACCGAATATAAAAATTTCACGCTGTGCGAATATTAAACTTGGTCGAATTTCGTTTTTGTCGAATTTTAAAATGTTATTGGTTAATTTTTATTGTATATATATATTTTATAACGCAAAATAAGTATAACGAAGTATAAAATTATAAAAGTAAGTATGATATTTGTAACGTTTGTAACATTTTCTTTTCATTTTATCGATGTATTTTATCTACCGTGAATTTTTACATTAATATTAATATTCACTTTCTATATCTCGAATTCAACGTAGGAAAGTAGTTTTTTGTTCAAAAATGAAGGATATCCATTTTTATATCGTTTTATATGATTTTTATTCCCATTTATTTCTTTCGAAACTCGATAGAAAAAAGAAAAAGAAGCGTGCGAGATATAATAAGGGTATTCCGATGGCTCGGAGCAGTGCCTGATTTGTACGATTCGCTACTACTGATACCATTACTACTGATCGACACCGGCCGTCTTGCTTTCTATAGTCAATATTAACTCTTTGACTGGCAATATCCGACGTATTCAACGAATCAATCGCCAGACACTTTATATCTGGAACTAGCGACAAGTGTCAGCCTTGCAAATTTTAATCGAAATAATGTAACTTGTTGAACGAGCTACTACTAGTGGATGAAGATTGCCAGTTCAGATTGCATCTCGTTCTTTCTTTCAGGATAAATAATCCCCACGAAATGGAAAAGTACGAGACGTATCGTGAAAAAAATTAATTATCGTAAATTAAAATTGTTAAAAAAAAGTTGTATCAATCGTGGATTCATTTTCAACGTATATTATAAAATTGTGATTGAAATTTCTCGCTACGGAATGATGAAAACGTTATAATTTCTCTTTAATACCGTTAAAAACGTATCGATCGAATTTTATACTATTTCTTACGATATTTTTTAAAAAAATATAATACCAATGTACAATATCATTCGTATAACTTGCATAGATTTAACGTAACGCGGTTGCAAAATTGTAAAATTTGTTGTACAAGTTAATATTAATATTAACTTGCAAAATCGAATAAATCCATTTGCCCGAAGAAGAAAAAGGGGAAAAAACGTGTTTTTTTCAACGATGATTTTCGAACGAAGTAGGAAACTGCTCGTTGAAAAAACAAACGCAAATCGATTGACAAAATACTGGAAAAGATTCGATTGGAAATGAAAAGAGAGATGCACGGCGATCTATACGCGACGAATATTCGGATACGTCGAAGTATACGGAAACGTGTTAAAAATTTTCGAAACGCTAGAACGCGCGATTAATCACCGTACTGTATAATACTACTGTCTCTTATATACAATAATATATAACGATATTATTTTACAATTCTCTTACCGTACGTATATAAAAATATAAGCGCGTCGTTATGTAAATATGTATGTATCTACGATCGCTGTATTCGACACGACCACAGAGAAATTAGATTTCCGAGATCTCTACTACCCTTACGTATTGTCATAGAAGACTATATGTATATATTACGATATTATGCGTGTATTTTACACTAGGTCGATAGAAATCGATCGAGAACTCCTTTATTTTCTACGCGGATTAAATATCAAAGGTATACGATAGCGTAACATCTGCTAGAAAAGCGATTACTATTCCAAGCTGGAAAAGGCCGTTTTTCTCTTCTCCAACGCGAATCGTGATTTTTGCGCGCGTGTACGTTTCGTTTTTAATTAATTGGACGATGTAGTAGCGTATCGTACAAGTTCGTTAAATCGTTCTCTGTCGAATTATCGGATAACGAAAATTTGCTCGACTGTCTCCGATCTTCTCCAAACGTATTTTCTTTTTTTTTTTTTTTTGGATTATAATTAATGGATAACTTACCTGATCGAACCGAAAATCCTTTCTGAAAATCGTTGGTAAATAATAATTACGCGTTTACGATTCTCGTGTACGTGTACGCGAAGCGAGTTGTTCCAATAACTTTAATAAAATTCTGCGTCGCACTGTTAAATAATATTTAATTTCGCTAACAAGATATTAATTGCAAATTATATTGTTGTACGTATGTAACGTATGACTAAATTGCTGATTCTTGTCAAAAATATGACACGATTGAAAATAGACGAAACATTGATATTTTTAACGTTGTTTTTAAGCTGGTAGTAAATCTAGAGAGATAAACGTCGTCTCGAGATTAATTAAAAAACAGGTACATTTTCGTTCGATAACACGGGTAAACACGATTTATTCATTTATTTATTTTTTTTCTTTTTTACGTTTATGTACAATTATTAAAAAAATATCATTCGTATCATTTCGACGAATAATAATTTAATAACAAAACGAAACATTTCTCATCTCCGATCCTTATACTACTCGTTCGTAAGTTTGGGATTATATATCTTGAATTTCGTTGTATTGCGCGAATTACTTTACATTCGAAGAATATATCTTATTAAAGGAAATTTGTTCATAACAAAAATATTTATTAAACGCGTTCGAATATAATGATATTGATTATCGCTCTCGCTCTTTCTCTCGCTCGCTCTCTCTCTCTCTCNCTCTCTCTCTCTCTCTCTTTCTCTCTCTTTCTCTTTCTCTCGCGATAAGAGATTAATAAAAATTAATACGTGATTCTTTATTTTATAGCAAATAAGGAAAGAAGCGTAAAAATCAATTATTCGCTTTCCCAATAACGCGTTGGACAACCGAAACGAACCGTTCCGATCCCAAACTCACTTCCGTTCAACAACCCAATATCTCTCTAAATTTACGTTACCCATATTTATATTCACAATTTCTACGGCAGTGGCTATCAACTGCAACATTATGTTCCACGTTCAAACGCATCGTCCGTTTTACAACGATCGTTCTATCGATCGCGAGGATATATTTTCCGACGAGCAACGTAGCCCAAGAACAACGCGAGAGTAAACGAGTTACAAGTTGTCTGATCGACGCAACACGGGAACACGTTCACGGCAAACGTAAACGGTTCGTTGTTGCATCAAACACGCACCACGCAACTTCCGGAAATCTCTGTCCGGAATCGTCAACGCTGTCACGACTTTAACTCGAATCGCGCGCACTCTCTTCACTCCCTTCCCCTTCCTCTTTCCCTTTCCTTTTGTTTATTTTTTTAAATCGTTTTTTTTCTTTTTTTTTCCTTTTTTTTTTTTTTTTCGTTTTTAATCGCTTGTGCGTCTCGATAGATCTTCTACGGCCTCGCTCTCACACGCGGGGATTATATAAACATAGAAACATACAAACACACATTGTTTTATTTTCTTCTTTTTTTTTCTTTTAATATTCGTCTCTTTTTCTTCCTCTTCTCTCGCTCGCTCTCTCTCTCTCTCTCTCTCTCTCTCTCTCTCTTTCTCTCTCTTTCTCTTTCTCTCGCGATAAGAGATTAATAAAAATTAATACGTGATTCTTATTTTATAGCAAATAAGGAAAGAAGCGTAAAAATCAATTATTCGCTTTCCCAATAACGCGTTGGACAACCGAAACGAACCGTTCCGATCCCAAACTCACTTCCGTTCAACAACCCAATATCTCTCTAAATTTACGTTACCCATATTTATATTCACAATTTCTACGGCAGTGGCTATCAACTGCAACATTATGTTCCACGTTCAAACGCATCGTCCGTTTTACAACGATCGTTCTATCGATCGCGAGGATATATTTTCCGACGAGCAACGTAGCCCAAGAACAACGCGAGAGTAAACGAGTTACAAGTTGTCTGATCGACGCAACACGGGAACACGTTCACGGCAAACGTAAACGGTTCGTTGTTGCATCAAACACGCACCACGCAACTTCCGGAAATCTCTGTCCGGAATCGTCAACGCTGTCACGACTTTAACTCGAATCGCGCGCACTCTCTTCACTCCCTTCCCCTTCCTCTTTCCCTTTCCTTTTGTTTATTTTTTTAAATCGTTTTTTTTCTTTTTTTTTCCTTTTTTTTTTTTTTTTTTTTTCGTTTTTAATCGCTTGTGCGTCTCGATAGATCTTCTACGGCCTCGCTCTCACACGCGGGGATTATATAAACATAGAAACATACAAACACACATTGTTTTATTTTCTTCTTTTTTTTTCTTTTAATATTCGTCTCTTTTTCTTCTTCTTCTTCTTCTTCTACTACGCGTGCTCTTCTATTTATCTCTGTTTATTTTTCTTTTATCCTCCCTTCTTTGTTCTCGCGCGACGCGTACGTAATAATTAATTTAACCTTAAGGTTCGCGTTTAAACGATACCTCTGCTCCGTTAATCCTCTCGCTCGATAATCAACTACGATTTTATACTTTTAATTTATTTATTCGTTTATTTTATTTATTTACTTATTTATTTATTTTATTTATTTGGTTTATTTTATTTTCGAAGCACTTTATTGCAGGTTTTTTTTTTTTCATTTTAACGAAGCACTTATTGCGTTACGTCTGGAGATTACGTTCGTTCTCTTATCTTCGTCGTTTCCTCCTTTTCTTCTTTTAATTCGTTCTTTTTTTTTCTTTCTCCCGTTATTGTTCCCCCCCCCCTCCCCCCCTAAACGATATTACCTGTTGTTCCTTCCTTCTACCGACTATTTCTTCTTTTTGTTCGCATTCGATTTCTCTCTCTTATCGTTTCAGGTATGGATGCAACGATCCCCGTCGTTTATCTCCATCGTTCGAAACGTTTCTCGGCGTTGCGTTCTCGGCGTTCTCTCGCATTTTTCTCCCCTTTCTCCTCTTTCTTTTCCTTTTACTCGTTCATCTTATCCCGACCTCGCCTATCCGATTAACTCTGTCCTCGAGAGATCGATATCGCAGTTCAGACACGCGACCCGATGAATTTCTGATGGAACGAGCCGATCGCTCGTCCCCCATCCGAAATTAATCGCTTCTTTTTTTCACCGGTCAAACTAAATGAACTCGATTTGAAATTTCGATCGTTCCCTTTTCGATTCCACGCTTACCACCTGCCTGACTGTGTAAAATTCATTTTTCTCGAGGGAGGGAAAAAAAAAAAAAAAAAAAAACGTGGCTCGTTAAAGAAACGAAACGATCGAAATTGTTTCGCGTTGTAACTCGATTCCTTTAGATGGAAAAAATATATAGCTCGAAAATTTAGAATTTTTTTTTTTCTTAAAAAAAAGGAAAAAAAAATATCGAAAGCGATTAATCGTCACACGTTTGAACTTACCGATCTCGAGGACCCTCTAAATCTCTCGAACTCGGTTTCTCCCATAACCAATTCTCTGTACCCCGTGCGTTTAGATAGAACTCGGTATTCTTTCTGAAAGACTTAATAATTATATCCGTTATAATCACAGTCGATGTAAATGTGTACACGAGCGTACAACGCTCGTCAGTAGTATACAATATAATCTAATTTTCTTTTTTTTTTTTAATCTTCCTTTAAATTTTCGTTTAAATCGTTCTCTAGAACGTTCACCGTGACGTGTTCGCCGTTCTCGCGTTCCTATTCCAGGGATAATTAGCAAACGCGTTGAATTTCCCTCGATCTCTTCCTCCTCCTCCTCCTCCTCCTCCTCCTCTTTTTTTCCTTTTTTTATTACGACGATGGATCGGAGAGATCATTCGTGTGTGTGTGTGTGTAAACGAACGCGAAACCTGAAAAACGAGACAAAGCATCTCTCCAATAGGGGTTGGAGGACGACCACGTTTCGTCGGTTTTCTCTTCCAATGTAAAACGCGAACCCACTACTTTCTTCCACTACTTTCTCCTCATCTGTCCTCTCTTCAAGAAACTCGAAGGATTTCGACGTTCCAACGATCGAGCGGGTGATTCCAATTATCGACAGACTTCTCCCTTCCCGATCCCTTCTCCTTGTCCTTCGTCATCACCTGGCCCGCCCCTAACTTTCCTCTTCGTCCCAGTTTCCCGGTCCTAGTGGAACCGAGAACCTTTTCCTTCTTCCAAACTGTTTCCAAAGTCTCGTCTCTCACTTTCCCCTCCCAGATTTCGACGAGGAAGAAAAAAAAGAAGAAGAAGAAGAAGAAGAAGAAAAGGAAGAAGGACTGGGAGAACAGCATACACGCGCGCTCCTTTCACCGGTACATCGATCGCGAACACACGGTTTAAGATTTCGGTATTTATTAGGTATTTAGGTGCACGTGGCGTATCTCTGCGTGTAATAATTATACCAGTTATTACGTGTAAGGCGTCGTAGTAGCACTTGCGGGATATGAACATGGTCTGATCTTTCGCGCGTCTTCGTTTCGAAGCGGCGAATTTCGCGAATGAAGAGTTGGCCGCTCGATTATTAATCACCGAGTTCACGGAGAGCAGTTCGAGGCGCGCGCATACACACACGCACGCACACACGCATACGTACGTAAACAGACACACGCGTTATGCAAGAAACGTGGATAGACAGACGCGCGCGCACACGCACACAATGGGCGCACACTCGGAGAAAGCGTTGTGCTCGGAGCGTCCGTGGTGGTCGTCCGTGGATGACGCGACACGATCGCGCGATCGAGGCCGTAACCGGTCGACGCGGCGGACCACCTTCTCTCGAGGACGAGCGCAACCGTGGCGGCGAGACATCTCGACGGGGCTAGGCGGAACGCTGCGGCGACAGCGAAAGAAGCGGTACGCTCGCAGGGCCCTCCCCGTCGAGCGACCGTCATACGGGCGTCTCGAACGTTACCTGCAACATTTTCCACAAAATACAAAACCTATTATTATTATTATTATTATTATTATTATTATTATTATTATTACTATTACTATTATCGTTGGATATAAAGTTCCATCCGATTTCCACTCCGCGAAATTACCGTTTTAATGGTAATTTAAGCGTTAATTCAATTCCGATCCCTAATTGCTTTACCCACTTCTCGATTACGCTCGACTACTCGCTCAGTAACGCTTAGCTCTGTTACGCGAATCTAATTACAGGGACGGTTAGTTAGCAGGACGGATCGTTAGCGTGCTAGGCGGATGGATTAATTCGTATATTCGCCGTTCTTAAGGAGACGCTCGAATTTCGATTATTATTCCAACGAAGCGAAATATTTTCCAATATTTATCGAATCGTACGAGTCTCGCGTAAAATTGATTGAAAAAGAAAAAAGAAAAAAAAAGATACGCGATTTTGTGTTTAGTATCGCAGCTTAGATCTTAAAAATGTTTTTCGACGGCATGAAAGGCATTAAAGAGTCGCGCCAAGTACATACTTGCTCGACACGTGCCTCGTAACGTTAAAAGGCATGTTAGTTAAAAGGAGTCGTGGGAGAAGGTCAAAGCTAAAAGCCGAAAGAGGGTGGGTGGCATTATCGCGATCGTATTCTCGGAGTAATAAGGAAATTCGTCATTTCTAGTAGGTGATGCGTTTTCGCGTTAATGCCTCGTTCGCCTGAACGAAGAATGAATACGCGAAATGACTCGATGTCGATGATAACGTTTCGAACCGTGTATATTTAATTTCACGACTACCACGCGAAAGAGAAATCAATTTTAACTAGGACATAAATCGTATTACGATAATCGCAATTATCATAAAAAGTAAATTAAAGGAAAAAAAAAAAGGTTAAATAACGAGGAATTTCATAATTTATCGTAACACACGATCCGTGCTCTATAACCCGATTAATTCGAGCGTTGTCACGTGCTAAAATAGAAATTGTCGTTTCTTTTATCGATCTCGTGGATCATCGCTCATCGTGTTCAACGACATTTTTTCACACTTGTCAAGTGAATTACCCGAATTAATTAAAAAGCCTCCATCCCTCTCTCTCTCTCTCTCTCTCTTTCTCTTTACTCAATTCTTTATTCGATTCGTGACACGACAACAACAACGTAAATTAGTCGCGAGGTTTTTCTAAAAATTGTATCGTTCCTCTACCAGTTTAAACGTATTATACGTATATAAAAACACGTGGCATACGGTGCTATTGAAATATTCACGCGTCACATGCGATTTCGTCGTTCTTAACATTCGTACTAACGCGCCATCGTCTTTGCCTCTCCATTAAGTTTTTTTTTATCCTTCTCCTTCTTCTTTTCGCGGGACAAATTTTCTCAATTTCGTTAAAAGGTAAGGTAAACGTAAGGTTCTTGACATAAGAGAGAGAGAGAGAGAGAGAGAGAGAGAGAGAGAAGGAAGAAAATAAAAAGTTAGATCGTTACGAAATAATCTACACTTA